CTTTGTATTAGGTACTGGAATAGACAGGAAAGATGACCTGTTGGCACTGACTCCAGATGTTCAGGGGTCTGCTAAATCATTACCCAGAAATCAGGCTAACTACATGACATAGACCCAGTGCTTGGAAGAACCCTGATCCCACTTTATTCTCCTGGACTCTCCATATATTTTTATGTAGTCTCCAAAGACAAGGGTAGGCTCACCTTCCTACTATCTACTGCATGCACTGGTGACTCAATGCGTGCATTATCCCAATCTGCCCTCCATTCCATTTAACTCCTATGCACTAAAAGGAATAATAGAATTTGCCGAGTTGGAAGGGACCCACGAGGATCACTGAGTCCAACTCCTGGCCCAGCACAGCTCCATCCCTAAGAGTCACACCAAGTGCCTGAGCATTGGCCAAACACTGCCGGAGCTCTGTCAGCCTTGGTGCTGTGCCCACTGCCCTGGGGAGCCTGTCCAGTGCCCAGCCACCCTCTGGGGGAAGAACCTTTTCCTAACCTCCAACCTGGCCTCCCCTGACACAGCTTCAGGCCATTCCCTCAGGTGCCATCACTGTCACCCAAGCAGAGATCAGTGTCTGCCCCTGCTCTTGCCCTCACCAGGGAGCTGCAGACTGCAGTGAGTCCCCTCAGCCTCCTCCTCTGCCGCTGAGCAGAGCCAGTGCCCTCAGCAGCTCCTCACACGGCTTCCCCTCGCGGCCTTCGCTGTCCTCGTGGCCTCCTCGGGACTCTCTCTAACAGTTTGAGATCTTCCTTACACTGTGCTGCCCAAAGCTGCACACAACACTCGAGGTGAGGCCCCCCGAGCAGAGCAGGACAATCCCTCCCTGGCCCCACTGGCACTGCTGGGCCTGGTGCCCCAGGACAGGGATGGCCCTGCTGGCTCCAGGGCACTGCTGGCTCAGATCCCACTGGCCACCAGCCAGCACCCCCAGGTCCCTTTGTGTGGTGCTGCTTTCCAGCATCTCCTTCCCCAGCTGTCCCCACACCCAGGGCTGCCCCTGCCCAGGTGCAGAATCCAGCACTTTTCCTTGTTGTATACAGTTATAAAGTATTTTGCAATTAGAAAAAAAATCAAGACAGGAATGTAGCAGAACAGTATTTGTATCAAGTCCTCAAGCAGGTTACTTGTGGCACCTCTCCCAGCATGAGACAGTTTAACCAAGGAAGCAGAGACACTTTGATGTAAGGGAAACTGCTCATTTTGCAGCACACAGGGAGAGGAAGGCAGGAGTTCTCAGATGAGCACAGGTCTCTGCCCCAGAGAACTAGCATTTACAGAGGCACATACAAAAGAAAAATAATGCTATGGTGAAGCCACACACAATTGTTATATTTACATGCATAGACACACTGCACACCTTCTGAATAGGTAAGAATCCTTGGCACCAAGGAGCATTCAAGCCAGACACAGAGACACAATATGCTGAGCTGGAAGGGACTCACAAAGATTATCAAGTTCAGCTCTTAGGTGAGTGGCTAATATGAGGGCTGAACCCCCAGCCCTGGTGCTATTAGCACCATACCCTAACCAACACCATCAATGAACACCAGAATGGTGATGACAGCAACAGCAAAAACATTAGACACATGCAAATCTTCAGCATGTCACTAAAGAAGACATGGATCACTCCTCCACTGGGGTGCCTGGCAGAGCCTGCTGAAATCAGTAGGCCTGCACTGACAAAAGCACAACACCAAGAGCACAGTCCCCAGTGTAACTACTTAGCAGTTCCACTACTATTTATTCCCAGACGACCTCTCTTAATTCAACTTCGCATAAAATACCTCATGCCTAATGTAAAGTTATGATTAAGAGTATTTTTCTTTTAGCTCAGTTCAGCCCACTACTTCATTCACTACTGGTCTCACCTCTTCACCACGTTAGCTGCTGTCTTGCTCCTGGCCATCAGGATAGTCTCAAAATTGCTGTTCTCTGTACCAGAAAATATTGCTATTGTAACAGAAGCTAAATTAAAACACTTGTGTCATGAACAAGGGCAAGAGTGTGAGAGCATGGCAAAAGGCCAAATAAAAAGGGAGATTTGTTACTTTTCCTTCCCAAGGGGTTTAAGAAAAATGTGCAAGATTAAAAAAATAACAGTTCCAGCCCTTTTCCCTGATGTATGACAACATGAAAGAGACCCTCCAAATCACTTCTCACAGGAGGCTGTGTAAAAACCCTAGTTTCTTGCATGACTAACATAAGAATACTAATGATGTCATTGTCACCCCTTTGGATCACAGCTGTCCTACAAATCATTACTTCTTACTGGCAGCCGTGCAGCACGAGTAAAACTGTTTAAAGTCTCACTGGGAAAAATGTAGGTGATGTAGTAACTGGTATCTTTGCTATCTCTTTAGAACAGATTAGCAGGGATGTGGACTACCTCCCTCTTTCACTCCCCTGGGGGATTCTTTGCACATGGGGTGTGTGGGAGAGGAGATTTGTCTTGCACCCTTATAAAAAGTTGTTGACTTTTGAACATATTCACTTTTTATAGGAGGAGGAAAGAGAAACAGTGGGGTCATAAATTTATAGTTACATCTCCCAGAGACCCTCATCTTTCTTATACACATGATGTTGATCAGAGAAGATCCGTGGGACAGGGTCCTTGTTTGCCACGGGGCATGCAGAAGCACTCAGGAGAAAGCGTTTCAGTGCTGTCAGTTGTCTCAAGAATGACACAAACAAGCTTCCCCTGCATCTCTACTGTCTGCAAAAATAACGAAATTAACAAAAGAGAAATAAAGAGAAGTTTCCCATGCCAACAAATCATTCCACAAACATCTGTTGTTCCTGATCAGTGAGATTCCACGGAAGGTAAGGAAAGATTGATACTCAGGGTATATATGTTAAAAGACAACACAGCAACCAGAGACAATACAAAACTGTCAGGTGCTGCACCCAAAAGCTGGACAAATCCCAAAAGATAACCCCAAAGGGGTTATCTTACTGCCCTGACCCTTTCACAGCTCTCTAACACTGAAAACATGAAATGTAATGGGAAACAAAAAGACAACAGGATCATCCCTGAAGTTTAAAAAATAAAAAATAATAATAAAAAATCCCAAACAAACAGAAAATGCCCCATGAAACTCCAGCCTATGCATTAAGAGTGACAGATTAAAAACTTCATTGTTGACAGTAAAAGTGACATTTGAAGCATGGGAGAGGAAGCAACAAGACCTTCAAAAAATCAGCAGCAACTTTCAATTACAATGAAACAATACATAAAAATAGAAGCTTAAGACTGAGGACCCTTTAATGCCTTATGGAGCACTCAGGGACAACAGTAAACAAGGTGCTGATATACTTTACACTGCAAACAATGTTAGTAGAAAGCCAAATGGGACAAGCCCCAAATCAGAGTGAAATTTCAAGGCATGAAGTTTGAGATAAAGGGCTGTAATCAAATTACACCACAAATGGGTCCATTCATCTAAAAGCATTTAAACAGAGAGCATTGAATTACAGTTTGAAATAAAACAAATTAATTTGCTTTCTATTCTTAAATATCTATTCATTATTTTCCTACTGCCAAAGAAAATTTCCCACCTCAATACAAGAATGAATGTGGGGAGAAAACTGAAATACTAATTATCAGGCAAGAAAAACAAGAAGAGTTTGAATTGTGTTATTTACATTCCCATTCCTCTTTCTGAATAGCGTGAAGTCAACAAACTAAGTGAAGACAGAAGAATCTGCAATTGCAATTCAAGTTGTTTTGTGCAAAAGGCCTAGCACCTTACGTACATCCAATAAACTGGCCACAGTATTTTCTTTCCTCCCCCTAAATAAAAAAATAATTCTGACAGTGCCTTCAGTGCTTTCCACTATGTTTTTCTTTTTCCCGAAAGCTATCACAATCCAAGTGACTTAATAGCACAATATTCAAGTGCAGGGCATGCATCGCCCCTCGTCCTCCCCCAATTTGGCAGCGCTGGAAAAGCACCTTTTAAACCAACCCGCGTGTGGAGGACCCGCTCTTTTTGTAAGCGCTGCAAGGAACAACAATCCGGGGGGGGGGGGGGGGGAAAAAAAACCCCCAAAAAAAAACAAACCCCAAAA